TGTTTATAGATAAATAAAGAAAGTTTACCGATTTCTATCTATCCACCTGACACCTTGTACAGTGGTAGGAGTTGGGAGGTACATGGTATACAAGCAAAATGTATCTCATATGTCCGAAATGGCTAACCCTTTCAGTAGGGGTGACATTATAATAAACAAGACCTTACATCAATAAAGTCAAATTTATGAGTCAATTTTATGTAAAAAATCAAATGCCTTTTTACAATATTTTGCTAATGTATTCAAAATATTTGCATTTATAGATTGTAATAATTCAGGAAATTTTAACATACTAGTACGTGGGCGTATAATATCTTGGAATGCAATAAAATATAAGTTTAACAAAGTGATTCAAAGTTCAATTGATCTGCAATATCATGACACTGACATAGATTCTATTTCCTACTGTTTCTATCAATGTAGTTTCAGTAAAAGAATTTATGAGATGACAAACGTAATTTGGTAGAAGAGTATATCTTGAACCTGGACATTTGTCTTGGTTAAATATTCCGATTTTTTAAAATTAAGTTTTATTTCTATATATTATAAAAGTAAAAATTTGAGTATGTGAGAAGTTAGCAGTGAACAGTGAGCTAAGCAAAAAGGCATTTCAATTTATATAGGGAAGGTAATGATCTGCTGTAATGCTCAGCTGTATTGGGCATCTAGCAGGGCATTCCTAAATATAGTGTAAAAATGCTCTGCTGCAATACTCAGCTGTCTTGGCAATCTAGCAGAGCATTCCTAGCTTTAGTGAAAAAATGCTCTGCTGGAACGCTCAGCTGGCTAGGCAATCTAGCAGTGCATTACTAAATATAGTGTTAAAATGCTCTGCTGGAATGCTAAGCTGGCTAGGCAATCTAGCAGGACATTACTAAATATAGTGTACAAATGCTATTCTGGAATGCTAAGCTGGCTAGGCAATCTAGCAGGACATTACTAAATATAGTTTACAAATGCTATTCTGGAATGCTAAGCTGGCTAGGCAATCTAGCAGGGTATTACTAAATATAGTGTAAAAATGCTCTGCTGGAATGCTAAGCTGGCTAGGCAATCTAGCAGAGCATTCCTAAATATAGTGAAAAAATGCTCTGCTGGAATGCTAAGCTGGCTAGGCAATCTAGCAGAGCATTACTAAATACAGTGTAAAAATGCTCTGCTGGAATGCTAAGCTGGCTAGGCAATCTAGCAGAGCATTACTAAATATAGTGAACAAATGCTTTTCTGGAATGCTAAGCTGGCTAGGCAATCTAGCAGGGCATTACTAAATATAGTGTAAAAATGCTCTGCTTGAATGCTAAGCTGGCTAGGCAATCTAGCAGGGCATTGCTAAATATAGTGTAAAAATGCTCTGCTGGAATGCTAAGCTGCTAGGCAATCTAGCAGAGCATTACGAAATATAGTGTAAAAATGCTCTGCTGGAATGCTAAGCTGGCTAGGCAATCTAGCAGGGCATTACTAAATAAAGTGTTAAAATGCTCTGCAGGAATGCTCAGCTGGCTAGGCACTATAGCAGAGCATTCCTTAATACAGTGAAAAAATGCTCTGGTGGAATGCTCAGCTGGCTAGGCAATCTAGCAGAGCATTACTAGATATAGTTTAAAAATGCTCTGCTGGAATGCTCAGCTGGCTAGGCACTACAGCAGAGCATTCCTTAATATAGTGAAAAAATGCTCTGGTGGAATGCTCAGCTGGCTAGGCAATCTAGCAGGGCATTACTAAATATGGTGTAAAAATGCTCTGGTGAAATGCTAAGCTGGCTAGGCAATCTAGCAGGGCATTCCGAAATATAGTTAAAAATGCTCTGGTGGAATGCTCAGTTGGCAGACTAATTCTGAGTTCCAGGATTTATTGTTGCCAAAGTTTTATTGACATTTTCGAGTTCTAGGCAATCCTGAGGCACTCGCAGACTTTCAGGTATTTTCGGTGCCAATAGAAATAATGATATTTTTGACTTCTAAGGACCTGTAAGAGACTATTTCATTGTCCTGCGACTTTTTGAAGGACACTCGCAGACTTTCAGGAATTTTGGTGCCAATGCTGATATTGACAATTAAGACTTCTAAGGACCCTCAAGAGTCCATTTTGGTCATCTGCGACTGATTCTTGGACACTCGCAGACTTTCAGGAATGGTTGGTGCCAATGGAAATAATCATATTTTTGACTTCTAGGGACATTTAAGAGCCCATTTCATTAGCCTGCAGCGTATTGTTGGACACTCGCAGACTTTCAGGAAAGTTTGGTGCCAATAGAGATGATGGCAATTTTTACTTCTAGGGACCCGCCAGAGTCCATTTTTATGGTCTGCGACTGATTCTGGGACATTCGCAGACTTTCAGGAATCTCTGGTGCCAATGAAGATAAAGACATTTTTGACTTCTAGCGACCAACCAGTTCATTTCGCTGGTCTGCGACTGATTTTGGGACACTTGCAGACTTTCAGGAATTTTGATGCCAATGGAGATAATGACATTTTTGACTTTTAGGGAACCGCCAGAGTACATTTCTTGGGTCTGCGACTGATTCCTTGCGACTCGCAGACTTTCAGGATGTTTAGTGCCATTGCAGATCATGACTTTTTTACTTTTAAGGACCCCTTAGTCATAAGCAGAGCATTTTTACCCCTAAAATGTCATTATCTGCATTAGCACCAAAAATTCCTGAAAGTCTGCGAGTGCCAAATAATCAGTCGCAGACCAACGAAATAGACTCTGGATGGTCAAAAATGTCATAAATTGTAATTATCTCTATTGGCACCAACAATTCCTGAAAGTCTGTGACTGTCAAAGATTAAGTCGCAGACCAAAAAAATGGACCCTGGATGGTCCCTAGAAGTAAAAAATGTCATTATCTGCCTTGACATCAAACATTCCTGAAAGTCTGCGAGCGACTCAGAATCAGTCGCAGACCAACGAAATAGACTCGGGAGGGTCCTTTTGAAGTAAAAATGTCATTATCTCCATTGGCACCGAACATTTCTGAAAGTCTGCGAGTGTTCCAGAAACATTCGCAGACCAACGAAATGGACTCTGGATGGTCCTAAAAATTCACAAATGTCATTATCTGCATTAACACCAAAAATTCCTGAAAGTCTGCGATCGTCCCAGAATCAGAAAAAGAGACTAAAGGGTCCCGTAGAAGTAGAAAATGTCATTATCTGCATTGGCACTAAATATTTTAGAAAGTCTACGAGTGCCAAATAATCAGATGCAGACCAACGACATTTATACTTTATTTAAGAATGCCCTGCTAGTTTGCCTAGACAGCTCAGCATTCCAGCAGAACATTTTTACACTAATTTTCAGAATGCTTTGCTGGATTGCCTAGCCAGCTGAGCATTTTTAACACTATATTTAGGAATGCCCTGCTAGATTGCTTAGCTAGCTGAGCATACCAGCAGAGCATTTTTCGCACTATATTTTGGAACGCTCTGCTAGATTGCTTAGCCAGCTGAGCTTGCTAGCATAGCATTTTTACACTATATTTAGGAATGCTCTGCTGGATTGCCTAGCCAGCTGAGCATTTTTAACACTATATTTAGGAATGCCCTTCTAGATTGCCTAGCCAGCTGAGCAATTCAGCAGAGCATTTTACCACTTCATTTTGAATGTCCCGCTAGATTGCTTAGCCAGCTGAGCATAACAGCTAAGCATTTTTACACTATATTTAGGAATGCCCTGCTAGATTGCCTAGCCAGCTGTGCATACCAGCAGATCATGTTTACACTATATTTTGGAATGCCCCGCTAGATTGCTTACCAAGCTGAGCATAACAACAGAGCATTTTTTACACTAAATATTGGAATGTCCCGCTAGATTGCTTAGCCAGCTGAGCATAACAGCAGAGCATTTTTACACTATATTTTGGAATGCCCCACTAGATTGCTTAGCCAGCTGAGCATAACAGCAGAGCTTTTTACACTATATTTTGGAATGCCCCGCTAGATTGCTCAGCCAGCTGAGTAAAACAGCAGAGTTTTTTTTACACTATATTTAGGAATGCCCTGCTAGATTGCCTAGCCAGCTGAGCATACCAGCAGAGCATTTTTACACTATATTTGGGAATGCCCCGCTAGATTGCTTTGCCAGCTGAGCATAACAGCAGAGCATTTTTACACTATATTTTGGAATGCCCCACTAGATTGCTTAGCCAGCTGAGCATAACAGCAGAGCTTTTTACACTATATTTTGGAATGCCCCGCTAGATTGCTTAGCCAGCTGAGTATAACAGCAGAGTATTTTTTTACACTATATTTAGGAATGCCCTGCTAGATTGCTTAGCCAGCTGAGCAAACCAGCAGAGCATTTTTACATTATATTTGGGAATGTCCCGCTAGATTGCTTAGCCAGCTGAGTATAACAGCAGGGTATTTTTACACTATATTTAGGAATGCCCTGCTAGATTGCCTAGCCAGCTGAGCATACCAGCTGAGCATTTTTACACTATATTTAGTAATGGCCTGCTAAATTGCTTACCCAGCTGAGCATACCAGCAAAAAATTTCTACACTTCATTTTGGAATGCTCTGCTAGATTGTTTACCCAGCTGAGCATAACAGCAGATCATTGATTTCCCTATATAAATCGTAATGCCTTTTTGCTTAGCTCACTGTTAACTGCTAACTTCTCACATACAAAATTTGAAGGATTGTGTTGTCTCCAATTATATTCATTCTTATAAGAAAAAATACAGTAAACGTATTTATATCTACTGAAGAAGGAAACATTCAAACTTCTTTTAACCAGTATTTTGTAATAAACATCTTACCCTTGACAACATAATTATTTCTAGCATCACGATTTTTTTGCTACCTTTAAGCGATTACAGTGGCTGAATTTTTTTAAATATATTTTCCAACGTCTGTTTAAGACTGAATCGCGGCGTCTTACATAAAATGATATTTTTTGAGAGTGGTATTTTGTGTGTGTATTTTTTTAAAATCCATACTGCATTGTTGTATTGAGTTTGAATTGTTCTATTTTTTTTTTACTGTAAATCAGTCCAAAGCTCAGGACAACTAGATCCTTGCAATAATCACTGTGGTAAACATGGTACGTGTACAATGCATCATTCACAACAAGGACGTGATTACTGGAGCTGCAAATGTGATAATGGATGGCACGGGGGTCACTGTGGATATCAAAACATTGGTAAGAGATATAAATACTTACCTATGAATTTATTATAATTTTATTTGATTTTGGTTTGTTGGATTTTAAGTCATCCCCACGATGTAAAGATCCAGTTCCCGCTTGTGCCTGAAATAATTCACCATGGGGCATCCAATGTCTTCATCGAGCAAAGAAAATGCTTAAATTAAATGCTTAAATAGCCATTGCAATAATATTACCTTATAGAATGATGTACAGTGTTAAGCTAAAGAGAAAATGTTAAAGTATAAGAAAAGTTAAAAAAAACTATGAACAGAAAGATTACCAACGCACTGAATAGAATGAAAACGAGACTTACATGACATGATGCAATTTTCATTGTTAACTTAAGGAGAAAAAACCTTTACAGAAAAAATACGGATGAAAATAAGAAAGCTGGGGGACATTTTAAAACACATATTTTTCGAAAAATAGTCCGTGTTACATCAGATATAAAGAATTGTTTACTTTGAAGCAAAATACTGTTTTCAGTTTTACTAGATTAAACATACGTTATAAAACTTTATCACTATTGTTAAGCTTACTAGAACCATTGTTTCAAAGTAAAATTTTTGCATCGGAGAATGAATGCTGCGATGTCAATTGTCAACGATTATAGTCCCTAAAATTCTTTCTTTCGGTCCCGCTAATAAGTTACTCTAGCTAAAACTTGTTCTTTTTAATGAATGAACAAATTGTTACTGCTCTTTTTCTCTGAAACTATCCTAGTTGACCATTTGGAGGTCACCGCAAAGCTCACACTCACACGTTTAGAACGATTATCACATTATTATTACCTTAGTACGACAACTTTGGTCCAATAGAAAGTATCATTATAAGCAATGATTTCTAATAACCATGCTCCCCAAACCATTTATTTTTATATTGTAAACGATGATCAAAATGCAGACCAAAAGTAATTGATCCTAATAACCGGAAATTCGTTATAATCGATGTTTACTGTTTTGCAAACAAAAAAACAAAAAAAAACAAACAAAAAAAAACAAACACTGATCACACTTTATTCTGGTGACCAATACAGTGCTGTTATGATGCATTTTCATTTTGATTTACTGCTATATTTAAAGTTGCAATCAGACTTAATCAAACAATTACTTAACATTTTAGTTTTCTAATTTGTAACGATTAATCACTACAGAAGTGCCGTTTGAATTAAAGAAGTAACTTATTTTTTTTTTGAAACATGTTTTTATATTCAGGTACACGATGCAGCAACATCATGGTCCTCCTATGTGTCTGTCAATACTGTAAACTCAGATCCAAACAAACACATGTGTTGTGCGATTTTCACTTAATAAGTAATATGTAGGGTTGTGCCTCTGTAAGAATTATTACGCTACTAATTTGATCTTTTTGTTATTGCAGATTTATTGGGTTTTGTGTTCATGTAACAGTTTTGTTAAAATTTACAGTCAAATATCCATAGAGTCTTAAGACACTTTTTCTTCTGTCAATCATGCTATTCTAAAGTGAGAAAATACACACAAAAACAACAAAAAAAAACCAAACAAAAACAAACAAGCTTAATTTCTACACTTTAAATAGTTCCAACAACAACAACAACAACAACAACTACTACAACATCAAAACCAGATACCATGATGGTTCAAAATAATCATAATGACCAAGTGTGCAATTACCATGGTTATTGGACTCATTCGGGATGCCATTGTCGTGATCATTGGACCGGTGATAAATGTCAACATCGTAAGTTTATATAGCAACTGTATTTGTATTTTATCTAATAAGCGAACTTTTAAGGATTTAGTGTTGGTCCATCCAGAAATACATAAATTTGCAAGGACGACTAGGGAAGCACATTTAGGTTCTCATCGGTCGCCGTACAGCTGCAGTGACCTTTCAAAATTTATATCTTTTCGTAGTACTCCGTGGATATTGCATAGAGATAAATTATCATCCAATCTCATTTTGCGAAAAAGAAAACATCTATATGACATGATATTCTATTTTGAGTCTGGTATTTTTGGTTTTTTTTTGTTTAAATATATAATGTACTGTATTAAATTTCTATTTTTGTTTCTGTAATCAGCCCCAGGTTCAGGACAACAAGACCATTGTCATAATAACTGTGGTGAACATGGAACGTGTACAAGACACCAATCACATCATGGAAATGTGTACTGGAGTTGTAAATGTGATTCTGGATGGCACGAGGAATTCTGTACAGTTAAATACATTGGTACGAGATACAAAAAATTTATCTATCAATTTTCTTAAATTTTATCTGTTTTTTGTTTTGTTGGATTTTAAATCATCCCGACACTGTAAAGGTCCAGTGCCAGCTCGTGTCTAAATTAATGCACCATGAACTTTACAGTATTTGACCTTTACAGAGTATGACCTTTACAATGTTTGATCTTTACAGTGTATGACCTGTACATTGTATGATCTTAACAGTGTATGACCTTTACAGTATATGAACTTTACAGTGCATGAGCTTTACAGTGTATCGCCTTAACAGTGTATGACCTGTACAGTGTTTGACCTTTACAGTGTATGACCTGTACAGTGTATGACCTATGCAGTGTATGGCCTTTACAGTGTATGACCTTTACAGTGTATGACCTTTACAGTGTATGACTTTTACAGTGTATGGCCTTTACAGTGTTTGACTTTTACAGTGTTTGACCTTTACAGTGTATGACCTTTACAGTGTATGACCTATGCAGTGTATGACCTTTACAGTGTATGGCCTTTACAGTGTATGACTTTTACAGTGTATGGCCTTTACAGTGTTGACTTTTACAGTGTTTGACCTTTACGGTGCTTGACCTTTACAGTGTTTGACCTTTACAGTATATGACCTTTACAGTGTATGACCTGTACAGTGTATGGCCTTAACAGTGTATGACCTATGCAGTGTATGACCTTTACAGTGTTTGACCTTAACAGTGTATGCCCTGTACAGTGTTTGACCTTTACAGTGTATGACCTATACAGTGTATGACCTTTACAGTGTATGGCCTTTACAGTATTTGACTTTTACAGTGTTTGACCTTTACGGTGTTTGACCTTTACAGTGTTTGACCTTAACAGTGTATGCCCTGTACAGTGTTTGACCTTTACAGTGTATGACCTACACAGTGTATGGCCTTTACAGTGTTTGACTTTTACAGTGTATGACCTACACAGTGTATGGCCCTTACAGTGTATGACCTATGCAGTGTATGACCTTAACAGTGTATGCCCTGTACAGTGTTTGACCTTTACAGTATATGACCTACACAGTGTATGACCTTTACAGTGTTTGACCTTGACAGTGTTTGACCTTTACAGTGTTTAACCTTTACAATGTATGACTTTCACAGCGTTTAGGTGAAATTAACGTCTAATTCGTCTTATCAGGTTTGCAAAACAGATTTACCTTGAACTTTTATTAAACTATTTACATTAGCTAATGGAAAATCGGTTATATGAACAAACCGGTGAATTAGTATAGCCAAACAGAGAGAAAAAGCAAGTGTTGAGTATCTCTAAACTATTTACATTAGCTAATGAAAAATCTGTCTTATGAACAAACTGGTGAATTAGTATAGCTATACAGAGAGAAATAGCAAGTGTTGAGTATCTCTGGGCACTGAGCGACAGCCGTCCCCATAAGATGAATGCTCGTTCATGGCTTCATTTCTCCGTCTCTTACAGACACATTTAACTTCAGAAATTCATATTTGTTTCATACTTAAGAAATTAGAAACACATATTTCTTAATTAATAATGTTTTAATGATAGATTTAGAGCAATGTTAGATGTTTAACAGCTAAAGAAAGTAGCGCTGTATATGCAGTAATGTGACACAAAAGGTAGCAAAAAAAAAAAAAAAAAAAAAAAAAATTAGAACATGTATTTTGACTTCCATACAAAATACCAATTCAATATAATTATACAAATTGCCAACAGAGCATGAAAATTAAAAGATAGTTCATCTGTAGGCAAATAAGTTCTTTTTAAAACTTTTAGAAGGTACTAAAAATAAAAATTGTTTTGGAGAAATAAAAATGATAGCTTTTGAGGCATAATAGACATTTTACGGTGCGAAATGGGAAAAACATAGTGACCACCGGGAAAGGAATGTCCTTAAATGGCTCTGGACATAGTTCGTTTTTAAGAGACAAACCTAAACGAAGTTCATTATACATGTATTCTTAAGTAATTCATTCATATTCAAAGAAACGTATAAACGCATATGGTTGCTAAGACAAAACATTTTGACCTGGATTGTGAATATTGCCAGGAAAATGTTTGCCTTTCAAGATCATTCATGATTTACTATAAGATTTATTATTCGTTAGCTAACGTGTTATCTTTATAAATACCACCCTTTGAATAAAGACATTCTTTTTGACAAACCTTGATAAAATATAATAGAGTAAACTTCAAATAACGACCACTTTTCTATAAAGGTCATGTATGGTGAATATGTTGAAAGTTGTTTTGTAATAGATTAGACATTCAAAAATTATGTACAAAGCATTTTTGAATAATAAGCCTGATACATAACGTTTTTTGAATTTCTGATACTCTTATATTTTCAGTGACTCATACTACTCATTGTCATAATACTTATTGCGTGAATGGAGACTGTACATATTTTGAAGACACAAATGGTCATCAATGGCATCATCGTTGCAAATGTCACCACGGCTGGGACGGTGACCATTGCGACAATAAAATAACAAGTATGTGGAAATAGACCTTAATCCTCATACAGCTTAACGACTTTAAAGGACTTGTCCGTTTTTCGATGTAATCAGGGTAAATTTCGTACTAACTGAATAGTGAAAAGTGTAGACCATGATCACACGGTTGGTGTGCACTGGTCGCATGGGTAAATTCAGTCGCTACCAACAGTCTAAACGTAAATTTATTTCATAGCGTTTTGAAATTTAAGCATATTCAAAGACTTTTAAACATTGCGTGACCCCGTGTCACAAGTAAATGGCTTCGGGGTGACAGGAAAAAAGTAAAACTCGGGAAAAAGAACATTTTTTGAAAACTACTGAAGACATCGCTTCTGACGAAAATTATTTTCCTAAATTTAAAAAATATCCTGTCATATCGTAATCTTCAAGAGTGTTTTTTGTACAAATTTTAATTGTTACTTTGTAATAAAAACAGCAAAGAAAGAAAAGACTATCTGAATACAATTAACTGATCTCCATTTTAAAAAAACTGTTTCTTATGCATGGGAGAAAAAACTTTGATCTTTTATCTGTGAGCAGTTAAAAGTTTGTATGAGCTATGGTGTATGAAGCAAAATAAAACTGCAAAGTCAAGGCAAATTGAAACAGTGTCTAACATACATTTCAGCTCGACTTTTCGAAAAAAAGAAGAGCTATTGTTACAGTCATTGTGTCGTTGACGTTGTCGTTGCTATTGCCATCCGAAACTTTATGATTTGTCAACTCAATAGATGGCCTTCATACTCGTACACAACAACCATTTGGACAAGACCTTTAAGGAGACTTGATTGATTTAGCTTTAATTGGCTATAACTTTGTTATAGTAGGTGACAATCCTTTAAACAAGACCTTTCCGTAAACCAAATTGAATTTGCCTTAACTCATCAATAATCTTGACCGTGATGGTGAAATTAGTGAATTTTGCTTGATTTTTACTATAATTGGCTATAACATTATTATTCATGAGTGAATTGTCTTCCTGCTTAAGGAAAACTATCTTAAGGAAAATGTTTTAAGGATAATCTAACTCAGTTTGAACTTGACTCATAAATGACCTTGACCTTCAAGTCAAATTATTGTAATTTCATATTTACTGCTAAACTTGGCTTTAACTTTGAACGTAACGAATATATTGTCATATAATTGGGTACAACAATTCTTGGGTAAGACATCAAAGAATATTTAATGGAGCGTAAATTTGACCTTAAATTTACCTTGACACTGTTCGTCAAATTAGTGAAGATCTCAATACAATTGCCATATCTTTGTTTTTCATTGATGAATTTAATCAATACTTGGAAAAAGAACACATATAACAAGACAGATTTGAATTATACATGTACAGAAAACACACATGACAAAATAGACAGGTTGAATTATTTTAACCTTTCATTGACATTGGCTGTCAAGCAAAAAATGCTTAAATTGTTAAATTTTGTTATTTATTTACAAATTTGACTCAAACTTGGACAAAAGACATATGACAAACCAACATGTTGAATTATCTTAAGATGACCTTTACCGTCAAGTTCGAATTATTGAAATTTTCTTGAATTATTATGAAATTTAAAATCTATTTGTTATAATTTTGTTTAAATGTTTTATTCTGGAACAAAAAAAAAAAATAAACAAAGCAAAAACCACTTACAGCAAAACAGACATGACGATTAATGCAGATCTGACCTTGATCATTTAATGACCTTGACCGTGAAGGTCAAATATGATCATATGTTATATTTTGTTCAAGACAGTTATGTTGTTTTCTTAGAGTGTTCTTTACTACAATATTCTTTTTCCAATTTGTTTTACTTAAAAAAATATAAAAAGTCGAGTGTGGCCCCCATTGGTGGTTGCTCTTGTTAAAACATAAAACCATTTACAGAAATTGTTAAGTTTAACAATATAAGTCGTTTCCGCGTAGCAATTTCATGACATATTTGGTGATAGAAAAATACGTCTCTATGCATCGGTTTTCATATTTTTATATTCCATAGTTTTAAATCTTCTTTATCATATTTTTTTGAGTAAGACACTTCTAAGGTTGGCTATTGTTTTAAGAATGAATTTGAATAATTTGTCACAGGAAAACGTAAAAAATGTAAACTTATACAAAGATCGTCACAATCATTTTATGTTTTTAAATGTAAAAATATCTGTTGAAAATTAGTATGTAAACTAAATAATATACATGTAAGTAGATTGATACACGCATGATATTTGATCTTTTGTTAATATGGAATATTTCCTTTTTTTTTCTTGTAAACCTTTTAAATGTTATTGTGCGACAGTAAGGACTAGCATCCGCGTATGTACATGTCTTGAAATAAATCGTCAAGATTTGATGTACTTTCTGTATCAAATCACCATTATTCACTGTCTTGCCAAATTACAAAATTTATAGTTTCGTATTGATGGGTAAGAGTTCTTGGAAAATCTGTTCAGGAAAATTGATAACAACGCATATTCTTCGTGAAAAGTTTTGTATATCGTGTGTCTATTTTAATGATTTTGAAATAAACGTATTTAAGAAAAAAATGTTTAAGAGAAATTTGACAGTGGTTCTTCTTGTTTTATGATTGGGACAATAGCTCTGGTTTCTAGTTTTCGCATGCAAATTGTAGAATTGAAACCTGACATTTCACAACATATATTTAAATCAAATAGCTAGTAGTCAGAGTCCATCCACAACGACATCAACAACTTCACCGACGACAACAACAATAAAAACAACAACAGCAACCCCAACAACGACGACAAAGCAAACGACATTACCACCTGCATCAGCAACATCTCCTGCTCTACCTACTTTGTCCGTGGTTCATATATCTACAACAAACACTCCACATCAAACTACTGGTTCGTATAAAACGCTAGAATTTTTCAGCCATAGGATTTTTATTTCTATCTTTTAAATCTTTTAAAAGGATAAGGTTTACAATTTGTTAGCGTTGTTATCACAGGCGTTCGGCACATTTGCCACGCCAATAATGGTCAAATTATCATAAAATAATCACCCCTTTATCAAACTTGAACAAAATTACTATCCAGCACCCGTTTACTATATAAACATATGTTCCAGGTATGTAACTCGACAAAGCGTATTCACCCGACACGACAACATTTTCCTCTCGCATTTTTTAATACAAGTCATATTTTCATACTTAAACATGCTAACATAACATAATACATACACATGTAACCGTTTAAAATATCTATCTCCATTTACGATAAATTAATTATCAAGCGTGAAAAATTACCTTAAATTGTGAGGTCGAAATTTTTTGTGCCAATAAAATTTCCAAAATTATCACGAGTAAACATACATTTAGCTGACTGCCATTCGTAAGAAAGTATTCCAAGCAAGTTGAAACATTAACGGGTTTTGAAATAACTTAACACAAATGCTCACAATAATCACAATAATGAGATAACATGCATTGTTTAACACCCGGACCCCCGACTCCAAGTTCAAGATCACTCTTGGAGGTCAAAGCCTAACATGATCTGTTACAGGGTATGATTCTAAGTCACGACCAAGCAAATAAATGCAATAAAAGAATCACATACCTTGATCGATGAATAAATTACGGACCGGACACTAAATAAACCCTGTAACAGACTATACGTACACTATATTGAGTTTGTATAAGTCACATTTGGCGGTTTTGAAATTGTGATAACAACTATACAAATGTATTTCTGTTGAAACACAGGAGTTATTTCATTCTATTTCTCTAATGAATTTCTTGTTGCATATGCATATCTAAAATTAATCAAGATGACAGTCCAGAGCCATACCTCACTTTTTAAATAGCACATTTTTGTGCTTCATTTAAATCTCCTCGTTGGCAGGGGACGTTGGTAACTCTGTTACAAATTCTTTTTGAAGTAATGATATTTTAATTAAAGATCCTTATGCAATTATAAATTTTAAAGCGTCTTTGATGTAGAAAACATTGGTATTTGTGCGTACTTTGGTTCTTCACGGTAAATAGGGCATGACATACAAACTTTTGTAAGTTTTGCAAGATTCTGAGATATTCATTTGAGTTAATTTACATATGTATATATTAACACTAACAGAGCGCGAGAGTAAATTCAATTTATTTTAAGAGTTCTAATATATATATATATATATATATATATATATATATATATATATATATATATATGTTATGAATCTATGATATTTTTTCTTTTATTTTCAAACCAGCAATTACAGTATCTACATGCAATCACGTGGACACCCTCAGCGCAATCGCACAACAGACTTCCGTTTCAAACCAAAATGCGATTGAGTGTTCTCCAGGAGTCCATACCTCTCACGAGGCTCTGGTTCTCACGGACTGTTCAGTATCACAAAGTTCAGCGCTTTGGAAACAAGGCACTAATGTAGGTTCTTCATATTTTAGATGTCGGTAATAAGCGTCTTTCTTTATTTCATTCATAAAAGTGCCATGTATAAAAAAATAATGAATGTGTTCATTTCAAACAAATAAGTACATGTTACACAATCGTGTACATTTTTTTTAAATCACCAGACAGTTCACTTTTAAGATTACAAAGATATTTTAATTACAATGATATCTAAACGTTATTAAAAATTCAGAAAAGTTTGGGCCAAACTATCTGAGAACCATTGTCAAGTAAAAAAGAACTGTCCGAGAAATAAGTAACAAACGAATTTCCTAATATTTGCAATTTCCAGCAAGTTTCTAGGAAGTTTTTAATCAGAATTTATTTACGAGCATATATTAGATGAAAGAGAATATTGATTACCATAACTACTTAAAGAGACCGTATCTCTATTTGAACATACAGCTCATATATTACTATATCAGGTTAAATATCATATTCAACTACGGACACTTCACCAATTTTTGATAATATCTTAAGTTATAATTCAAAAATATAATATCTTACTACGCAACACGGACACGACATTTGTTACATGATAGTATAGTTTATGTCTGGCTAAAGTAGTACAAATGCCATATCTAACACAAACAATATCGTTTTTTTTATAACACAGGTTATGTCAGCATGTTGTTCAAATGCCATACCTTACACAAACAATATCGTTATTTTATAATACAGGTTATGACTGCATGTAGTTCAAATGCCATGCCTAACACAAAAAATATCGTTATTTTATAATACAGGTTATGACTGCATGTTGTTCAAATGCCATACCTTACACAAATAATATCGTTATTTTATAATACAGGTTATGTCTGCATTTTGTTCAAATGCCATACCTAACACAAACAATATCGTTATTTTATAATACAGGTTATGACTACATGTAGTTCAAATGCCATACCTAACTCAAACAATATCGTTCTTTGATAACACAGGTTATGTCTCCACGTAATTCAAATGCGAGACCTAACTCAAACAATATCGTTACTTTATTATACGAGTTATGTCTGCATGTAGTTCAAATGCCATACCTAACACAAACAATATCGTTATTTAATTATACAGGTTATGACTGCATGTAGTTTAAATGCTATACCTAACACAAATAATATCGTTATTTTATAATACAGGTTATGACTGCATGTTGTTCAAATGCCATACCTAACACAAATAATATCGTTATTTTATAATACAGGTTATGACTGCATGTAGTTCAAATGCCATACCTAACTACACACCTATTGCTGCCTTTGATCATAGCCAGTACTCATCGATAGGGAGTTTGTCTGGAATATTTCTAGGTTGCACCAGTGATGGTTTCAAGGTATTTTACAACTTTATCTAAAAAAATTGACTAATACATTTCTTTTGGCTTCTTGGCTACATGTGAAGTTGCAATTATTTTCCATGAAGAAAGAGTTTTAAAATTTCAAGCGATTGTTTTAATGTAAGATTCATTTTTATATGTAATTAAATTGATAAAAGAGAAAAAAGTGAATTAAACAAGTCCGTCTAAGATGTTAAGGGTTGGTAACTTCTTTCTCAAATAGAAATAGCTATCTGAAGAGAATTGTAAGGAATTAAGTGGTTGTTTTAATGTAAGTTTAAATATTATGGAGACAGTTGGTTCAAGTAATAGAATCCAAGTGACAAAGCTACGCAGTTACATAGCAACTTTACCGGACTACCCATACCATATTTTCCAGAATGTTTTTTAATGCTTTCAAACTGACATCTCCACTTTAGTCTAGGTCGATATCAATAGAAAGTTCTAAGAAAAGGTAGCACTTCATACAGGATCAATGTTTGATGTTGATATAAAAAAGATCAAACACTCTTTTCGTACATCAATTGAAAGATATATATTGTGTCACGAAACTCCCCAAACTTTCATGTGCCTTAAAGGTAAAACATAAGAAGCTGTCCAACATAACAAAATAATGAATGAGATACACCGTCGGCATCTGTTGGTGTTTTGTGTTCATATCTATAAAGATGGTCAAGTATTTGAGAATTTTGAGAAGTTTGAGAATGAATGATTATTAACAAAATGATACTATTTGTTTGTTTTCAAGATGGTAGTACAGACTTGCGGACAAACACCTTACATTGCCGAGCTTCACCTTGGTGGTAGTAACACACAGAATCCAAATATGTATTTTACAATATCGTAGACAAATCAGACGCTCTGTTATATCGAAAATAAACTGTTGAGACGAAAGCACATGTATTTGTTATTTTTGAATCATAAATGAAGTGAAATATCTTTTAGAAATTTGTTTTGACATTTATAGAGTGACTATGATATCCGGTAAATTTAGATGTTTGCAACCTAGATAGCGTTTTGCATGGTTAACATCTTTTGGTTGAATGGTCAAAATGTAAACATCCTTAAGTTTTTGCATGTCAAAAAAGTACATGAAGACGATTAAAGAAGCAACCAAGGATAATTTAATCACTGAAACATGACAAATTTGGTAGACATATCTAAAACACTATTCAGATGTAGGATATTGTTATTTTTACATTGTCAAAAAGTGTTTCTTGGTGGAGCTATAGCACAAAAGTAATGGAAAATGTTCTGAATGGGGTCAGATTTAACAGTTCATAACCGTATAAATTGGCTTGCGGTTGAAGTTCTAAATGAAACACAGCTTATTGTATGTTGATAAATTGGTAGATATCATCATTTGCTCAAAGAAGAACAACGTCTCAACTACAGTTACAACTTGCAAGGCAAGGATAGTTGAGTTGTTTTTACTCTTGGTTCTATTTTGTTACGGTTGTGTTTAGTTGAAATTGTCAGTACATAACAGTATCTGTTCGTTGTATTTAGATAACTAACATTTCGGGTAACAGGATTTCCTTGGGGTGATGTTACCCACGAACCTGTGTTATTTATATATTTAATATTTATTGAAACCGTTTGGTTTCGGCTAGATGTCTGCGTCAGTGCATATCATAACCATAATATTTTTAAAAGATTAAAAAATTCTTCGTGTTCTCGTAAAATATCACAACTCCCGGTGTCTGTTGCCACCGATAGATTGAAAATTAATATATGCAGTTTTTCTTAAGACAGGGAAAACTTAAACAAAATTGAATATCATTTCATCTAACAATAGTAATAAAGAAATGGGCATAACTCTGTAAAATAGTAACTCGGAGTTTGGACATGTTAGACATTTGGAGAGAACAAGTGTATTCCAACTAGCTGGTAAAACTAAATCAATGTGTGACGGCGACACCTAAGCGAGTATAATAGCTCTCTCTATTCTTCGAATAGTCGATCTAAAAATAATATTTTCACCAAAGGCTTTAGATGTACATATATGTATAATATAGTAATGGCGTATATGCAAATATGTCTAGGTTCATTCTTAACAAAACGGACAATTTTCTTATTTCCGCTGTGTTTATATCGTAGGAATGTTACCTCGTTCGTGTCCACTTAGTGATAAGACACGAATGCTACTTTATGCGTCGCATTCAACAAATCAGTAGTTATATTTTCCCATCAAAGTTTTTTTTAACATTTCATAAAGTTTGTGTTAAGAGACGAAAGAACACGGAACTCAATTTAATGTATTAACTATTTAAATGGCCACACTGCATTAATATTCCTGTTGGTAAGCTTGATGCATTTTCCATCTTCTTTAATCCCCTGTTTTACCTATTTTTTTTACAATAATTTTATCTTAATATGTTGCTATTCTTTAGACACATAAAGTTTTTGCCGTAGTTTTAGCATAATGATGTTTATATATCTGTAACAATAGCGTTAATGGGTAAGAAGTCCTTGATTGTTCTGTCAGTTATAATGATTTCTTTTACTCTTTATACGGCAAATTTATAATTTGTAACATCAAAATGATTAAAAAATGAATTTACAATTCGCAGAAGCCTTGCATATAAATAATATACATCTTACGATTGTCCATTAAAAACTAACATTTCAAATGTGCAGCATTATAAATTTTCAGTTATTTAAAGGTAAGTTATGAGTGTATTACAAAACTTTACCATTGTTCATTACAGTAACAATGAAAGTGTTGGAACTAATTGTGTGTTTTGTAGGTATTGTCGGATCAGGTGAGCTGTTTTACTGAAAGTAAGCAATACAAGAAAACCGATTTAGAATTACCAATTGATTTCAATTAACAAAATGTATTTATTTTTAGTTATGCTAGTGTCTTTGAAAATGAATTGATCAGAACAATCATGTTATATTTTCTAACATCTTAAAGTGACATTGTGCTCATATTTTTTCGCTGTCAAGTTGATTCAAATTAGTAACAAAGTTCAAGTGATTGACTGTTAGAACAATAATTGATAATGATTAATATTGAGGATAAAATATAAAACAACATCATTTTAAAAATTGAAGGTTATTAAAATACATTTCGACGATATTCACAGAAATGTCCGTGGATCACCTGGATTATTTATTAGTTTCGTAATTTTAACAAAATTATGGCATAAAGTAAAATAATTTTGACTTTCACTTGTGCACACTTACACTTGGAAGATATAATGTGACTTTAATTCGAAATACTTCTCAACAACATTGTTATAACAGATTAGAGTCAAAAGTGGGACTTTTTATAATACATGTATATTCTATATTTGATCCAGTACAGGTCGTACAGGTCACCAAGATAAAGACTTGTATTAAATTGTGCTTTGAGATCTTTACTTCACAGGTCTTTACACAAACGTGCATCCGCTGTGATTGATGGTTGAATCGAGGTTCATTTTCAATGCCTTAAAAAAATTGATAAGTGTCAGCATTCATTATTGAAATATATATTCCTATGTCAGTCTTGTGTCATCTCAGTGTTTTTATATTGCTTTGGTCCTTCAGGAGCATTGATTCCAATATTTTTGTATACTTAATAAGATTGAATATTGTTAAAGCCTTAACTAAGGGCGTTACACCTATCATTGAATCGCATAAAAAAAAGCAACAAAGCCGAGTCTGCACTCTCATTTATTAGGTTTTCAATGCTATTTTTCCCAAAATATTGGTCTTTTTTTTTAAAATTACTACGAACTTTGATGCACTAAGTTTGGAGTGAATTAAATTAAGATGCGCACATTCTTTTTACGAGAAACACTAGTACTAGGAGAAATCAAACCAAACTGACATTTTTCTAAAGGGATCAGACGTTTTTGAAGTTTGCATATTAAAAACAGAAATAAAAATGTACAAAAATATTACAAACAGTAAGTCAAAATGTATTTTTTTTTTATAAAGGTGACTTTTAGAGCTTGTAAAAGTAGACCAATGACACCAAGTTTTACCAGTTTCATTCACGAATTTTCTAAAGGCTTTTGTAAGTTATATCTAACATACACACAATTATTTTCATTTAGCAAATGTGAAATTAGTCTATGTAAAAATAATGTATTCTGCTTGATCCCACATTGTTTCTGAACCCCGACTGGCCACATTGTTTCTGAACTCGGACTGGACGTTAAAGTAAACTATTTATCTCCCATTTTGTTAAACATTTTTTATTCTAGAGTGCATAAAAATGTAATTACACGGTACTTTTTAAAAAAGAGTTTGGGTTTCCTTTTGAACAATAATTATATCATAGACAATCAATAAGGAAAATTGCCATTTGATCTACTAGTATCTTACAGTTTCCGCCATAACGACAACCCCTCCTGACAACAAAGGTACTGAGTTTGTTTTGATGTTCATGGAAAACCAGCATTTAGGTCAACAAGATTTTCCATTAGAACTTTATTGCGTCACGCAAGAGAAAAAATCTGTCAATGTGCATGTTACTTCACCAAAGTCTTCTTTTCCACAAGTTAACCAGTCATTTACGATAACAGACGGACAAGTTCATAAAACATTAGTTGACAGCGCGTTCCGAATGACCGGAAGTTCAATATCCTCAAAAGCCATCCGTATTCAAGCCGATGGGGAGATAGCATGTTACGGGGCGAACAAAGAGACACTGTCAAATGACGTATATCTTGGCTTACCAGTTGACACACTCGGAACTGATTATTACGCGATGACATATAGTCCGGCGAGCATTAAATCTGAACTTGGAATAGCATGCACAGATGATTTCACAACTGTGAAAATAACTTTACCAGCCGGAAATGGAAATGTAGACGTTACATTTGAGGGAAAAACATATCACTCTGGAGATGTTATCAACGTACAGTTACATAAATATGATACACTTCAGTTGCAGATCACTGGTGACCTGACAGGTAAAAATGCTTTATAAAAAAGTCATGCAAATGAACAGATACGTTTTGAATTATCCAATAGAATACCAATCATTCTTTGCTGATATTTTTTATCGAATATTTTATTAAGATAAGTCCGAAACTCGTACATGTAAATGTATGTAATGACTGGAGTAATATTATGTTAGAAATACGAAAATAGATCGGAATGTTATTTCATACAATCACAATATACGTTCTCGCCTTAGGTACTCATATAGAAACTAACAAACCTGTCGCAGCCTTCAGTGGAAACTTAAGAACCAATATTGGTAAGGGGCCATTCGCGGACCATCTTGTTGAACAACTTCTTCCATCAGATAGATGGGGGAAAAAGTTTGTTACTGCTCCCATTCCACGTCGAACAGTTGGTGATGTGTTTAAAGTAGTCGCACGTGAAGATAACACAGTTATCAATGTCACAGGAAAATTATTATTTCACTTGAATAAAGGAGGTTTAGTAACATTTGAACTACCTTCGGACCACTACAATTATATTGTCTCGTCTAAACCAGTGATGATGGCACAGTTTGTAAAAAGTCAGCAGCTAGCTACGGAGTCTGCGGATCCTTCAATGATGATTATAACGCCATGTGAACAGTTTGGATCAGACTACACATTTTCTTCACCTGAATATTCCCATCCTGAATACGGCCCAACATTTAGGTACAAGAACGAACTCATGATTGTTCTAAAGAAATCAGATATTTTAGGACTTCTGTTGAACGGTAAAATGTTTCCTCAAACAACGTGGACTGATATACCATATTCAAATATGGTCGGCTCGTACATCACTCTGTCACACGGTGCGCATAAAGTTCATCATTTGAACCCGTTAGCAACATTTGCAGGATACCTATATGGTCACGCCTATCACGAGTCATATGGATTCCCGGTCGGCATGAGAACGGCTGTGATATATTCAGTAAGTTGTCAGTCCAATTTTTTTATATTATCAATATTCTTGTCTTTGCATCCAACTTATAAAGGACCGCCTCCGTGGTCGAGGGGTTAGTATGGTGACTTCTAATCCAGTTACCTCTCTGGCTAGCGTTCGATCCCCGGGAGATGCTTTGGTAGTTAAGCCCGGAGGAAGGAAGTCTAGTACTGATGTAACTCTCCAGGAACGATGGTTAGGAAACTACCCGCCTATATGACTGAAATACTGTTGGAAAAAGGCGTAAAATGAAACAAACAAACAAAAAACAACTTTTAAAGGAAATTTACGTCAAAAATTAGTATCAGTTTTCCAAAAAAATCTACAAAAGAGGAACATTTTTATGTAAGATAGTATGTGTACTATTGTAACTGTATTTCAACGGAATAATAACGCAAGTTTGCATGGTGTTTTAAAGGATCCTACATTGTACATGTGAAATGCGGTGTCATAGGGCAATAGCGTTACTGTACATAATGTATAAATGTAAAGACTTCACATGTTACACTAAAATTACTTCTTTTATGTGGTATTGATATAGCACAAACCTCACGAGTATTACCCTTTTTAGAATTGCACCCCTACAGTAAGTGTCCCTGGAGATGGTATCGACAACGATTGTGATAACACGATAGATGAAGAAATTTGCCCAGACAACATTGGTGAACTTTTTCCCTTATCTTTTAAAATAGAGTGAATAAAATAATCCCTAAAGAAAGTCCAAAACGACAAAATTGTAAATGTTGCAGGTTCGGTTTGATTGAGCCTGTTCATGGACGGTAATGCAAAGTGCAAGTTACTGTCAACGCCCCTTAACACCGACTTAAGCAAAATTCAACATTTTACATGAACTGGTAAAATTTGGAATTTTGAAACGTGTTCATAGGGCGGTTATCATGGAATATTCAATGTGACACGTTAGTGTCATTCCATGAAAAGCGGCGTATGGTCCCCAAATAAAAGAACGCGTGTCAATGGGCGGAACTAAATAAAATGTAATTTTAAAAAGGGATCAGAGGAAACAAAGCCTGCATGAACTAAAAAAGCACTAGCACAACCAAATGCCACGGATCGAAAATATTACATTCCTGATTGAATGTATATACATGTACGACGATGTAAAATATTCACATAACGGTTAATGTAACCAATTAAACAAAAATTCTTCAGTAGTTTTAAGTAAAAAAAATAACTTCGCGAAGTTAATATTATTCGCAAGTTAAATTAAAACAGCGTTTTAATAAATAAACAATGTTAAAAGCAATAAGATTCCAAGTTACTGTATGTATGAGAATCTAAATTCAAACTATTAATCCTGTGATTCTAATAAAGAATTTGAGTATTCAAACATGTAAATAAAGGTTATTTTGTTTGCATTTTCAGACGATGACGGGGACGGTTAAATTGACGAGGACTGTGTAAAATCATTTCCATGTATTTCTCCATTTTACCTTTGTATTTGTAAAACAGTCATATTCTAGTGTCAACGTCAAAAATTATGGTTTTACACATTTACGTTTAAAAATCAACAACCAATAAACTGTCTTAAGTCATAGTCATATTTTTGTTTTAGAAAGAATTACTAAATCATCTGTATATAACAGTAAAATATTCAAACATGTATACCTATATCTTAAAAGCCCGTTTAGTATTTTTTTTAGAAATCGTTTAGAAGTAGCACACAGGAAAGGGGTAGGACTATCCCATTTGTACACACCAAATTTTTTTTCTTACGTTTTTGTTCTGAAGAAGAGTACAGTCATGTTTAGAGTTTGTAAAAGGAGACCAACGTCACCAATTTGAGCAAGGTTCATTCATGAATTTTCTAAAGGCTTTTGTAAGTTATATCTAACTTACATGAAAAAACTTATTATCTTTCAGCAAATGTGAAATTAGTCCATGTGAAACAAAAATATTGTGTCATCGTCTAAAATCATGATTTAATACGTTACGTTTTAAAATTTACGTCCAGATTCAGTGTCTTAATACAATTCATAGGTATATTTCACACGTATACACATGAAGATTGAATATTGATCTAAGTAATCGCTATGGATTCGCTTTCTGTATTTTAGCTAAAAAATCATAACATTTCTATTTTAAATCACATAGCAAGTAACCCGAATTTATCTACAACAAAAACTGACACAACCGCGCCAGCAGCAACAACACTGACAACAACAACGCCGACACCATCAAAAACAACAACAACAACCCAAACAACGACGACAAAGCAAACGACATTACCACCTGCATCAGCGACATCTCCTGCTGTAGCTACTTTGTCCGTGGCTCATATATCTTCAACAAACACTCCACAAAATCAAACTACTGGTTCGTATAAAAAGCTAGAATTTTTCAGCCATAGAATTTTATTTCCATTTTTACCTCCTGTGGAATTTATCAGTTTAACATTTGCAAGTATTAGTTTGAGTATTTAAAGCGCCAAATTTATTTTCAGGTCCACTAGTTGATAAAACAAGAGCTGTTCTTAGTGCCTGATAGTAAAAGAGCCTTGATAATGTAAAATTTTCTGAGTTATCAACAGGTTGGGGTCATAATGTTGAACAAATGTGCAAAGTTTCAAAGCCATATGTCGATGGACATATTTGAGTTATTACAAAAACTTAAACATCAATTTTAACTCAAAAAGAGGCATAATTCTGTCAGAATGCTTGATAAAGTTACCTCCTCCTGTCTAAAAGTTGGGTTTATAATGATTAACAAATGTGCACAATTTCAAAGCCATATATAAATGGACTTTGAAAATATTTGAGGTATTACAGGCTGGGGTAATGATGTTGAACAAGTGTGCAAAGTTTCAAAGCCAAATGTCAATGGACTTTGTAAATAATTGAGGTATAACAAAAACTTTAACAGAAGTGTTTACGCCGATGCTCAGGTGACTTCAATTGCTCTACTGTTTCTTTGTGAATAGTCGAGCTAAAAACGAAAACGACGTGGGCGTCGGTTCAACAGGTTTGATTGATTAAATGTCTGTCCATAGAAAATAGCTTCAATGCTAACAATGTTATTACAATAAAACTTTATATGAGGATATTTATTAATGAATTCAGGTTACCAATCAAAGGGGTAAATGTCAAGGTCATTTAGTGTAGGTCCTATGTGAGTTAATTAAGTACTAAGAAAAGTAGAGCGCGATGATCCTCGGAGACATGCTTTCTTATAGTGCATAAACATTTATATATTTACACTTTAAAAACGCCAGTGTTAATTTCAATTTACTTTACGATTTCTTGTAAATGTCTATGTAATCTCTGTAATGTTGTTTTTTATCTTTATACCAGCAATTACCGTGGACACCCTCAGCGCAATCGCACAACAGACTTCCGTTTCTCTCCAAAATGCGATTGAGTGTTCTCCTGGGGTCCATACCTCTCACGAGGCGTTGCTTCTTACAGACTGTTCAGTAACACAAAGTCCAGCGCTATGGAAACAGGGCTCTAATGTAGGTACTTTATACTTCAGATGTCCGTTGCAGATTTACCTTTTTTCATTTCATTCATGTAATTGCATGATTGAATAAAACAGTAATTGATTGTGTTCTGACATTATCAGACAGTTAACTTTTAAGTTGACAAGAATGTTTTAAGGTGTTATGTAATGTTTTGATTTTTTTAATATTTAAGAATCATCGTCAAATCAATCTGTTTAGACATGAATGCCAGAAAAATAAACACAAAATAAGTTTTCTAGAATTTGCAAAATCAAACCTTGCCGCGGAAACATTTAAGAATGTAACGAGGAGTTTTTTGTTTGTTTGTTTGGTTTTACGTTGTACAAACACTGCCAAGATCATATGGCTATGACGAATTTCTATAATAATTCACATGCCGTACCTAACCGCTATTTGACAATACAGATAATGTCTGAATATATAGTCACTTTTTGACAAGACAGGTTATGTCTGGGTGTACTTTTTCAAATGTTATACCTTACTACACAAACACCTCTGATATTTAGTTATACACTGGTAGGTTATATCTGCATGTAAAGTTCAAATGTCATGCCTTATTTCAAAACATTATTGCTTTTTGATAATATACAAGCTGGAATGTCCATATAATGTAGGTAAAATGTCATACCACACGACCGTACAAATAATGTTCTGGTTAAATGATATACTATACTATTTAGTTATGTCTGCACGAAAAGTTTAAATAACATACCATTCACACAAACAATATCTGTTTAATGACATATTATAAGGTTACTAGTTTCATTCCCAAACCGTAATACACAAAAATATTGTAGTTTTATGGCATACTAGTAGGTTATATCTGCATGAATTAGTTCTAATGTCATACTCTAGAAAACAAACACAATCGTTATTTAATAACACAGGTTATGTATGCATGTAGTTCAAATGCCATGCCTAACACAAACAATGTTGTTATATAATAATACAGGTTATGTCTGCATGTAGTTCAAATGCCATGCCTAACACAAACAATGTTGTTATATAATGATACAGGTTATGTCTGCATGTAGTTCAGATGCCATGCCTAACACAGATAATGTTGTTATATAATAATACAGGTTATGTCTGCATGTAGTTCAAATGCCATGCCTCACACAAACAATGTTGTTATATAATAATACAGGTTATGTCTGCATGTAGTTCAAATGCCATGCCTAACACAAACAATGTTGTTATATAAATGATACAGGTTATGTCTGCATGTAGTTCAAATGCCATGCCTAACACAAACAATGTTGTTATATAATAAAACAGGTTATGTCTGCATGTAGTTCAAATGCCATGCCTCACACAAACAATGTTGTTATATAATAATACAGGTTATGTCTGCATGTAGTTCAAATGCCATGCCTAACACAAACAATGTTGTTATATAATAATACAGGTTATGTCTGCATGTAGTTCAAATGTCATACCTAACACAAACAATGTTGTTATATAATGATACATGTTATGACTGCATGTAGTTCAAATGTCATACCTAACACAAACAATGTTGTTATATAATAATACAGGTTATGTCTGCATGTAGTTCAAATGTCATGCCTAACACAACCAATGTTGTTATATAATGATACAGGTTACGTCTGCATGTAGTTCAAATGCCATGCCTAACAAAAACAATGTTGTTATATAATGATACAGGTTACGTCTGCATGTAGTTCAAATGTCATGCCTAACACAAACAATGTTGTTATATAATAATACAGGTTATGTCTGCATGTAGTTCAAATGTCATGCCTAACAAAAACAATGTTGTTATATAATGATACAGGTTACGTCTGCATGTAGTTCAAATGCCATGCCTAACACAAACAATGTTGTTATATAATAATACAGGTTATGTCTGCATGTAGTTCAAATGCCATACCTAACTACACACCGATTGCTGCCTTCGATCATGGCCAGTATTCATCGATAGGGAGTTTGTCTGGAATATTTCTAGGTTGCACCGGTGATGGTTTCAAGGTATGTTACCACATAATATAATACAGTTACCTAAAACTATTTAAAACAATTGAAGCATTGTGAAGTAAAACAAGTTCATGTAAAATATTTTTAGGTGGAATTTACGTCGCACCAACACAGCTTTGGTAATATGGTGTTATCCCAGATTTACTGCTCAGTTGTCCTCCGTTCATTTTAAGGCACGAATGGGCATCGGAGTAGCATCATCGACATACCGTAAGCAAACTAGATAGCTTTCACACATGAACGGACCGTAAATCACTCTCGGGATTCGAACCAATAGCGTAAAAAGACAGACAGTTTGAAGTCAACGACTTTAACCAATCAACACGGACGCCTCTTGAGGTAATTAGATATCATTCATCCGTCGTATCTTATTAGGAATAACAAAGCAACAACAACAACACCACCACCAACAACAACAGTAACACAAAAGCAAGAAAATATACTCATATCATGTGACCCTAAATTATATTATCATAGAGAAAGTTGATTCAAAACAAAAGCACATACTTCTCAAATTGATTTGAAATACTGTTATAATGACACTTATAGCACATCACCAGGCATATAGCTACCTATACATTTCCAGGCATAGCTACCTTTACATCACCAGGCATAGCTACCAGTACATCACCGGGCATAGCTACCTATACACATGCGATTTCTCAAATTGATTCAAAATAATTTTATAATGGCACTTATAGCACAACATCAGACACAACTACCCATACTTCTCAAATAAATTTATAATACATGTACTTTTATCATCGCAACTATAGCAACCACCTAACATAGCTACCTATACACATGTACTTCTCAAATTGGTTTTAAATAATTTTATAATGGCACTATAGTGTGCCACGTGACAAAGCTACACAGACTTTCCCCAATGGATTTATAATACTTCTAGAATGGCAACTATAACTTGCACCGAAACTAAACTATCAATATTTCTCCAATTGTTTTTATAATAACACTTTTACAAAGGAAACCATAGCACGCCACAACACTCCTCTGGATCCTCATGTGCCTATAAGGGTAACACATTTGAAGCAGTCCAATTTAAACAAGTCAAAGGACCAAAGAGGATGCATTGATGCTATGGGTCAGTGTCTTGTCTTAGGTTTTTGTGATGATATATAGAGATAATAGAGTATAAATGCACAGCAATAAAATTATATGATCTTTTTTTCCAAGGTGGCAGTACAGATCTGCGGACAAACACCTTTTATTGCCGAGTTACACCTTGGTGGAAGTAACACACAAAATCCAAATATGTATTTTACGATATCATAGACACAACACACAGTTTGTTTTACTTGAAATAAAATACGAGAATGAAGCACGTATTTTTGTATTTATTTTTTATTATAGTTCTCTTACTTAAATGATATTATTATATTTTACACCAGCACTTCTTTTTATACGAATTATACTTAATAGAATTACAGAAAGGTTCAATATTATTTTTGCTAATCAGTTACAATACATTACGTCCTTTTTGTATTTTTCGATCGCAGATAAGGAAATACAATGCTGACATTCAATCTCTGGCACAGAATTTCACGACAAACGTAACAAGTAGTTTTCAAAACAGCTAAAACTAGAGATGCAAAAGAAAGAAACATTTTTATTTTGTATCCAACAAATTACACTGCATTCAAAGTTTAAAAGTAGCGTTGGCTTATAGAATTGTCATTAAATGCACAATCACAAATTACGCGGATGAATATCATTTTAATCAATGAAAATGCTTATTTTAGCGATGACAATTACCGAATACTTCAGAGCGTATAACACAAATCTGACTGTCGAGTAGTGGAATATATACTTGTTTGACTGTTTTTTCCCTAAATTATTTACATCAGTGTTAAACAACAAGTTTATCGTGAACAAAACACCACGAAATTAATAAGGATTACAAACCTGAAATGTAAATTCTAAATTTAGAATAATTTGATTTAAGTCAAGCTGTCTTCGTATAACTTCCCCGTGGTGCAGGGGTAACGCGCTCGTTTAAGATGTGAGAGGTCTTGCGTTTAAATCCCAGTCGAGGCAACTATTTTTTAAGTGTCTTTTTTAAGGAAGTAGCCACGATATGCAAGGATAAAGTGGGCTTGTCATAAAAAATGAACATAAATGGTTTTTGATGCAACTCTAGTCATGCAAAATTCCGTATGTATCAAACTCAAATTCAAAAGTCGCTGCATCTCGGTTCCCTGTAAGATGAATTATAGTTCATTAAAATAAACTTTTACAGGAAAATACATACAGATATACAGTACGATTTAGATTGCAAAGATCAGAAAATACCACAGAGCTTGCAGCCCTTTGATTAACATGAATTCTTGTTACTCTCTTAGATAGATATCATTTTGTGGAGCATGCGTGTACTGCCTTAAGAGAACGTAGAGGGGCAGGGGGATAGTCTCTTATCAAACGTGGTCCATAACGGGAAATGAGATTAAGTTTATGTATACATTTCATTTAAGTCAGTCTTTGTCCTAATGTTATTTTTGGTATTTTTTTATAAATATTACGTTTTGAGCTTTGCAATGTCTTTCTTTTAATACAGTGTATAGAAAGTCTGACAAATCTTTTTTATTAATGTGTTTTTGCATCTCTTTTTTCAAGGAATTCAATTTAACTTGTGAGTTTCAATTATTCAGTAAATTATTCAGTTAAAGTACAGACAATGTACGTTCTTCAAAATACGCCATTAGAAAGGAGGAAAGTCGGCTTAGGTTTAATTGAACTATATAAAAAACTAAACTACTCATTTCCAATTCTTAAATATTTGCACCATCAGTTAAACGGAAGTCAACTTAAAGCTCTTGTCTGGGCTTGGTTTGCCCTTGAAATAAGCAGAAACTCCGAATTCAATTACGAAAAATCGGCCTTTTGTACTTTCGGTTTCTACTACCTTACGTGGATTGATCAAAACTTTCTTGGCCTGATATACTTCCGATAGTCAAAGAACCCAACTTAAGGTCTTACCTTTCAATATAATCGCCCTCTAAATCAATGCACTTTACCCACCTGTGCTCCAACTTGTTTAACTCTTCAAATAGAACTCTCTATTTTGGTCGTCAAAGAACTCATAGTCAGCCTCCTTGACACCTTCATTGCTTCCAAAACGTCTACCACGAAGCTCGGTCTTCAGTTTCGGAAACAGATAGAAGTCGGAGGGGGCCAAGCCCGGAGAATATGCTGGATAGGGAAGAATTTCAAAGCCGCAGTCAGTTGCAGCAGCCATCGCAACTTTGGATGTTTGAGCTGGCGCATTGCCGTGCAGGAGCAGAACGCCTCGAGTCAGCTTGCCCCTCCTTTTACGCGCGATTTCTTGACGTCTCAATTCGTCAGCATAGTACGTACCGTTTATGGAACGACCTTGCGGCCAGGGTGCTTCCACTGCATGCTCTGTTTTTGGATTCTTGATCGAAGTGATGGACCCATGTTTCATCCTGAGGTACGATCCGGTAGAAAAAATAAGGATCATCCTCGTAGCGAGGCTAAACATATCTTAAAATGTCAAGCCTGGTCCGTTTTTGGACGTCAGCTAACTGTCTAGGGACCCATCTAGCGAAACCTTTGACATGCCATAGTCAGAATTGCCTGAACTGACCCAAAGCTTATACCCACTTCCCTACCAATGCTTCGCATATTTTTACAGTGCTATAGGAAGGGGACTCCTCCCGAAGTCTATCCATGAAGTCTTCATGAATTTCCTTGGGGGACATCCCTTTTCTTCCAGAAGTACTTGAAAAATTATTGACAATTGCAGACTCCGTGATCTGTTAAACTGTTCCGTAATAGAAAAACGCCTGGAGCAATCAGTCGACACATTTTGCAACTTGAATAAAATATTTTTTTTTACACTTTGGATTCGGATAATCTTATAGCTTCCAACCAAACGGCATCAAAATATATTATGTATAGATATAAATTAAATTTAGATATTTTATATTGTTCCTTTAAAATATCAGATTCGGAACTGCCTCGCCAATTATCTATAATAACCTCGAAAACAAAACGGATTGAAAGTAGTTCTATCACGTGGTTTCAGATGTAAACAGAAGCAAAGATAATGTAAAACGAATATATACATTTGACATCCAAAAGAAAAGTAATGTCTGTTTCGGTATTCTTATGATTGAAAGTATGTCTGACAACAATTTGTAATTTAAGTACGCCCACTGATGTACAGTTTTTAACAAATCCGACTAAATGTCAACAGGTAGGTTTTTTTGTACTTTCGGTTTCTACAACCATAATAGATATATAGATAATGTAAAGTTTGCTGTTGTACCTATGAATTCACTTATTTCAGGTAGACTTTTACTACATATATTGGAAATAAACTTGTCAACAACTCCCAGCATTAAATTACAATTCGTTTACATGTTAAATTTCTTAGCGTAGGTTAGACCGAAATACCGCATCCGTTCTGTGTATTCATACTATTGTGTTCAAGGTCATTATCCGAAGACTAACGGAAATGGCCGAGTAGTTGCGATTGTAAAATATCAAAATAAGTCAATGCATTTTGAAAATGATATTAAAAAAGTTTTGGACATATAACGCGGTACTGTAGTTGTTTAAAACTATATGTCCCTATACGATGATATTAACCTAGTAACTCTACAAACGTCACGATTTTTTCCTTATCTAGGGTCGTTCAATTACGACGCTACCTTGTCGCAAACCGTCTACAGGCTTCTAAGTATTATCTGATTACAAAATCAGTGCAACAATGGTTCCTCTACTCCAAGGTAAAAACCTTTGTGTTTATATAATAATTGAAAAATAAATTTGCATGTTACTATTTAAGGCCACAATATGTTTCATACGAGTCCGTTTTTCTCATTTTTGCTACATGATATACATTAGAGTTATATTATTTCGATGTGTCTTTGTTTGTTTTGCTTGAGATGGAAAGAAAACAACAATTTTACGTTAGGTCGGATGGTAGTTTTCCAACACGGATGCATTGAAAACGACTGCCATTTAGATGATATGAACGTTATAGACAGTTCTCTAAGTTAAAGTCACACAACTGGGTGACATGAGTTAAACGTCTGGATGATAAGACTACCGTTAAATCTGCCTGCACATTTTTCGATCTTGTTTATATAAGTTCGGTTTTACGTCGCACAGAGACAGTTAAGGTCACATGGCGACTTTCTAGCTTTACTTGTGAAAAAAAAAAAAAAAAAAAAAACACATCAGGTGGCCCTCCGTGCATTATTTCAGGCGCAAACGGGCAACTATGTGGAAGCACCGGCTTTTCATAAGCTAAGTGCATAGCTTCCTTACATGAAAAAATCAAATGTTCTGGTCTTTAACTCTAATGGTTGTTTAAATAGTGAGACTCAACTTGGTATTTCTCTGAAATTCTTTAAACATTTAAACATTTCATTAAAAAAGAGATGACTAAAATTGACATTATTCTTTTACAGTGTCTGTTTTAATTATATTCCTACACTTTGAACAGTGCACCGCTCCTGGCAGCCGTAAGTTTATTTTCTTGGACCAAGTTTAATGTATATTTTGTTTAGGACAATTTGTACTGTACACGCACCAAATTTAATTTATATCTGACATAATTAAAATACAAGTTTAAATACAGGGCTATGTTTCATAGAAAGTCCGAAGTACATCCTAAGTCCTAGTACTTATGACAAACTATATGACTAACATAAGACACTTTCAGTAAGTATTTTTATCTTACGTAAAAGTTTTAGACTTTTATTTAATCTATTTTCCTGAGAATAATACAGTGACATGCACTCCAACCTGCCGTGTGTTAATGTTCATATCCATAGCTATTCACAGTGTCCTCACACAATAGTCATAAGTTAGGACACTTTCTTTGAACAAAAAAAAAATGTCTCAGTTTTTGGTCTTTTCTAGACATATTTTAGATCTAGGATTTTCCATGAAACGCCACCCAGAAACTTATGATAGGAAGATATAAATCTAACAAAAATAGAAATAATTACACAATGTTAAAAGAATCTGAAAATGTTTGCCAAGACCGTTCTGTCATGTGACACCGCAGGTAAAGTTTTTTTTGAAAAGACAAATTTACCAAATAAAATATGGGGACAAAGAAATAGGGAGCAACGTGAACTGAACTCAGCCTCCGATAACATTTCACTTCAAAGAATCACCACCGGGAAAACTATCAGTAGTACACGGAATAGGAATGAGGAAATGTCACGTTTTATAACAATGTTTGTTAACAACTGAAAATGTATTGCCATTGATAAAATATGTACACGTTGAGATTTTACCGAGCCTCCATATCACAAATATAGTAAAAGCCTCCAAAACACATAAAACACATATATAGTAAAAGCCTATAAAACACTCATATAGTAAAAGCCCCCAAAACACTCATATAGTAAATGTGACAATAATATGTCACTGTGTTGCACATTGAAGAAGGTCTAGTAAATAGGAATCTTAAATATGAATCAATTGAAAATGAGTCGCGAAAATATGTTACATACTTGCCGGAACGTGAAAATAAATGTTAAGCATTGTTGCCATTCAGATGGGCTTGAGACTTGTGAACATCACTGTAGTGAACATGGACATTGTGTAAAAGTGCATGCTTCGACTTACAAGTGCCAATGTCACCATGGATGGGAAGGGACTGACTGTTCGCACGAAATAATTGGTAATTACGTGAATTTTACTGCGACTGTTTAGTATATGGCGGCCAATACTAGAAGCCCGATTAATAATTCTATCATTTTCTTATTTCTTTGTTTGCCTTCCTGGAACACTGATTTTTATGCTTGTTGATACTGTTTTTGTTCTTAAAACATAATATTAATTACAACGGTAGTAGAAAATGCATTTAAACGTCTCTTTGATCCGTTTTTAAAATATCTGGCTCATTATGAAACATCTAGTGTTAACTTTTACAACAGTATAAAATTGATTGTTTGGCGACAAATTCTTATATTGCTAGATTACAAATTGGCGGCATAGCCACAATGTGTATGAATGTAAGGCAATGCGAAACTCAGTATGTGACGATCTATGAAAACTCGTATTGCAATTTAACAACACAGAGGATTAGGTTTACAGAATGACCTCATTTGAAAGCCATGAATATTCTACTGAATGTAGAGCGATCCAAACCTACTCATTATTTGGATTTTCCTAAAATTTATCAACAACAAATTCTAAAATTCAAAATGCCATGAAAATAACCAAGTAGAGCTATAATATGTACTTACCTTTGTCACCAGTACTGTATGTGTAGGCAATCCGAATCTAATGCAATCCAAATATAAATCAGTCCGAATCTACTCTAATCCGAATCATGAATTGTCTATATTATATCACAATAAAATCAAAATGATATGTCATTTATGTTTTCTTGGAGAGTAGAATCAGTTTATAATTTTTTTTCAATAATTAGTAACTGCGTGTCAGAAAATAATTGTCCCAAGTGATCCAGAAGTACTAAAATTACGAAGATTCATAAGGTGATTCTTATTCCACGCTTCATTTCAGTATTAATGCTATTATATTGAGTGTATGTATATTGTCTTCAAGTAATGTTTCTTATTTTACTTCAATTTGTTGGAAATACACTTGTGCAAAGGTATACGCCTAAAATAATTGTATTACAGTGATTGTCCATGTCTTTATAGGATAGCACTTGTACATTACACAAATGCCGCACGCTTTTTAAAAAAAAAATGCTATATGATACGCAAATTTTCTCCATCCACTATTTGAGTTACTTATATGACTTCAAAGGCATACATATGATATCAATGTAGAATCACTTTATCTTCAGCTTCCGGTGCATACTCTCTTTCTGAGTGCCATGCAAAATGCAGTAGCCATGGACACTGTGTACATCATCATACTGGTCATGGGTATATTTGTCAATGTGACTCAGGATGGCACGGCTCGCACTGTACACTGGAAAATACAAGTTAGTGAAATAGTAGATAACTAACCAATTCGAAATAACATTTCTACCAAAACGCACATGCACAAATACAACCAGCAAAAAGAAAATTCAAAACACATGTTCGAATATGATGTTATTAACATAGCGCCAATACATATACCGGTAGTTTAAATTCGATGATTTTTACACATATATACCAATGCCTGTTTTTTTCCAAGGTACTCACTTGTTAATCATACATAACAAATTATAAAAGTTCTAGAAAATGTCAATCCATAATGTAAGAGGGCGTATCAATTACGTCAGACTGCTTTCAATTTAATGTTTACAATCGGTCCCTGAAATAGTTTAAACCAAATTACTCGGAATAATGAATAACGCTGAAATATGAGGCGAGATTTTAGTAAAAGAATTGTTATAAGAATATTTGAATATTTTACATGTTTGCTGTCAAGTACTCTTCTAGAATATATCACATTAGGTTGTAAGGTCCTATATCATAATAAGGTCATAATAAGGTCAATTTGAAGATACCACTATAATAACCCTAATATTATATTTCTATAATTTCAGCGTCCACGTCTCAACTTCAAGACCATTGTCAAGGACACTGTGGCAGCCATGGGAAGTGTGTACAATATAATCTTCATACTAGTCTCTTTGGTATTTCTACTAGGTATAGTTGTCAGTGTGAGGCAGGTTGGCATGGAACTCACTGTACCATGCAATATTCATGTGAGTTACTATTCATAAACTTTATTTGTTTCTACGTTTTCCTACGAAATCTAAACTGATATAATTATTTGTTTGAATTGATGAAGATTTTAATATACATCAATACCTCTTGCATGTGCTGTCAACCACCCCCCCCCCCCCCCCCCCCAAAAAAAAAAAAAACAAAAACAAAAACGAATGCATCCAAAAAATGCCATCCAGGAATTGAACTATTGATCACTGGCTTTTAAGCAAAATTATTACAACACAACATACTAGACCACTGAGTCCAACCGCATTTATCAGAGGTACCGGTGTCATTTATAGTAATACAGACAATAACTGGTTGCAAACCGTTCACGAGGTTTCATGGAATGTAAGAAATATATTGCTAGTATCGGTGTCTAGTCTGGACAGTTGTGTCTCATTCGTTTACCATAGCCCCCGATGCACGATACTTCAATAGTAAACACTCGTGATGGTACAATGTCCGATAGTGAAATTGCGATGGAAAGATGGTAAAATAGACATCACACCGCGTTTTCATCATCACATTACATTCACACACTTCACATCACATTCACACACTTCATACACTTTATACTGGCCATAGCTTTCGTAGATCGATCTCAGCGAGTTTGAGTATTCGGAGCAGAAGCGGTGGATAAAAATGGCCGTTTGTTGTTGTCGGTAAGTTTATGAATGAATTTTATCTTATGGTTTAACGTTTCACTGGAAACACCTTGTGAGACAGCATCCTACATATGTATTCTTCCAACTGATTACACGCACACGGTGCAATTCATTGCCATTTATGCAAAAACTTCTGTGCAGTTTGACAAAAGGTGGCCACTTATGCTTAATTTTGGTTAAAAACACGTACAAATGTGTGCAAAACGACCCCATGATTCACCGGCATCACATCGTATGGATGATACTTACGCAAAACAACCATATTTTGGAACTTTTGGAAATTGTTATAACTTGTTTATAAAAGAATTGAAAAAAAATGATTACAACACAGACGGGGTGGATTTGATTGCAAAGCTTCAAATTATTCTTAAAATCTTCAACTTTTTGCTCCACAGTCCCGCAATATTAATAGTTTTTTTTGGCGAGGATGCGAACAGCACGCTAACTAGCGCCATTTAACAATAAATATTTCGATTCGCGGCACGGCCGTATTACAATTAAATCTTAACTTTTTGCCCCCCCCGCTTATGAGCGTGTTTTTGCTCCTTGCCCCCGCCATTTTAACTTGTTAATTCTCGACTTTTCGCTTGGCAGGGTCCCGGGGCGAAACACGAAATGGCACAAATCAGCCACCAAACATATAAACATAATTAAAAATGTTAAATAATTACTCTGTTGGCTTGGCATTATGTTAGAAGATTATAACAGAAATATTTCAAGTGAAAATTCTTAGGGGTTCCCGAGCTCATTTTTCTGCACGTGAATTTAGCTTTTTTTTACTTGTTTGGTGTTATTTCAGGGGCAAATAATTTATATACAATGTATACGTTTAAAAAATCTTTTTTTCTTTTGTCATGTTTTCCAAAAAAAAAACAAAAACAAAAAACAAAAAAAAAACAACATTTAATTCCATCAAATATTTCTTTTACCTTTTTTTTTTCAATTTCATCAGAGGTACTTTAAATTCTTTAAAAATATACCATTTTTAAGACAATTTCCGCTGTAAAGATAAAATTTATATGAATTGGTGTTCTCAGTATGATAAAATAACACAATGACATTCAAAACTAAGATTGTTCTTCATATTCAAAAAATCATGTTCTTTTTATCTTTAGGAGTATCTGTTTTATATGTATGTATGGCAGAAACTTTGTTGAACCTGGAATTGACGGTCGTTTTCAGTCCCAGGTTGAACGTGTTGACTATTCTATGATAATACTGGCTTAAAGAATTTTCAATGGCGGAACTCGGACATCTATATGTATATATATAATCGTATTGTTTAAACACCAAATAAACACGTCTATCTGATGTCAAAGAAAGAAAACGGTTTTTCTCAATTAAAAAGTACATTATGTCAAGTTAAGCCCTCAACATAGGCATAAATGGTATCGGGCCTATCGCGTTGCAATTAAATACACCTCTGTCTGCGTTGTAATCATTTTTTGTCAATTCTTTTATAAACAGGCAATAAAAATTTCCAAAAGTTCCAAAAAATTGGTTGTTTTGTATCATCCACACGATGTGATGCCGTTGTATTTAAAAGTCGTTTGAAGTTGTTTTGCACTCATTTGTACGTGTTTTAACCAAACTGATTCAAAATTGGCGTCCCCTCGTCAAACTATACAGAAATGTTTGTATAAATGGCAATTAAACCGTGTGCGTTTAATAAGCTGAAAAAGTTCACATGTGGGCTCCTACCTCACTAGATGTTTCCAGTAAACATTAAAACATAAAACAAAAATTCAGTCATAAACGTATCGACAACAGCAATTTGACATTCTTATCCACCGCTTCTGCGACGAATATTCCACCACCGATGCGATGGACCCACCGCTTTTGAGAAAGCTATGGTCAGTGTGCTTTTAACTAAGTACCATCGTGCCCTTGCCTTTTTACTATTGTTACATTGTACGTTAAGTAAAAAGTCACTTGTCCAAACGAAACACCGTTAGTATATAGAAAATGCATTCAGGAAAAGTAACACTGAATCATTGCTTGTGGCATCGCATGTATAGTTAAGTAACATGTATATAGTCTTTATTTATGTCTTACTTATGGAACGGTTAAATGATTATCTTAAATATTTTCTGCTTTTTGTTACACTTTAAAAGAACGTAAAAAATTGCGTAAATTTGAATACAAAGTGTTTTTTTTGTTTTTTTTTGTATATAATTTTTACTTTGCAGCAAGCGGCACAGTGCAGTGTCACAATACGTATTGCGTGCACGGAGTTTGCGAGCATGGACATTATAGCTTCAGCTCAGATCATTGTAACTGTAATCATGGATGGCAAGGTCGGCATTGTGATCAACAAATAACAACAGGTATTTATTTTTGTTTTGTTTATTTTAAGAAAGAGATTACAGGGCTAATATAGATTATTGAGATAAATCTATGTAACTTAAATATGATATGTGTAGATGTATTTATTTTTGTTTGTTTTGATTGAGTTTTACATCACACCGACACAGTATATGTCGTATGGCGACGTTTCATCTTTCCTGGTGGAGGAAGACATCAGGGGCCGTTTTATCAACGTTTCATGTAGTTGAAATTTAATGCAAAACTGAATGACAAAATGAGATAAACGGAGATAAATGTAAATGTATATTTATTAAATAAATATAGATATGTGAGACAGATATAGATAAATGAGATGAATATAGAACATGAGATAAGGTAGATAAATGAGTAAATATAAAGAAGATAAAAAAGACAAATACAGATAAATGAGATTATTATCGAAAATGAGATAAAGATAGAAAGATGAGGTAACTATAGTTTAAGAGAATTAAGAGATTAATGTAGATAAAGAGAAATGAAATAAATAAAAAAAAAAAGAAAATGCTGCTGTATAAAAATGTTGATCAGTGGGCAGCGACATGGACTGGAAAAATGATTGTTTTGCTATATCTTCCTGATTATTGACCTACGTAACAGAAAGATTAACCTTCGAGACTGTACAAAGTGTTTATCCAGCTCTTACATTTCAATTTTCTGACAGTTTAGTCCGGAAAATTCAGATTCCAGTAACGTGTAGATCAATAAAAAGAAAATTGAAGAGGCTATCAATTCTGAACTCAAGTTTTGTTTTGTTTTTATTAATTAAAACTACAGCAATCACTAGAGGTGATTTATATCCCCACCAGCAACATTGACTGTTTGTAAAATAATTTGTCTGTTGACCTCTCCAGTAAAAGGAAATATCTTTTTCGACCTCACCAATACAAGGAAATATCTTTTTCACGCAGTCGCAGGACAAATATAATTAATTATTTATGTTGAACCAACGTAGTGGTTGAAACTATAATTTAAATATTTACACAGAGCAGAGCAAGTTTGATTTTACGAAAACGTTATAAAGATCCTGTATGTTGTCATTGAGGCTGCTACCACACTTTAGCGAAATTTTATAAATGTATATACAAAAAAAATGTAATTAAATACTTCTAAAACACTTTTCAAACATAGAAGAATATGTAAAATATGTAATGCAAATATTTTTCCACATTATATGGAATCATTGAAATAATGCATTCAATTCTTATTGAAAAAATTGACTTATACTTTATAGAAAATTTCTAATTTTACCTCCCTTTATTAACATGAAATGTAAATTCGGTAATATCTTTACAAATAATGCTTTTTGGAACTTACAATATTGATTAATCTTAATCTGAGCATTATATTTATGATATAAAATCATAAAAATATGTTACAGGATCTTTAAATGTTGTTGCTGAATAAAAAAAAAATAGAAAAAAATAAATAAAAAAAATGAAAGTGAAGGAACGATTTCATTGAACAAAACATCATTTCAAGTTATAGCAAATCATAATTGAAATTTGACACCAAGATGCACTCTTCTTTCGGAATAATGCATTTCATTAATTATATCATAGTTTGGAGACCTTTCTATTGAAAATGTATCAGAGTTAAATCGCATACCCATCAACGCACAGTGCCTTAAGGGATATAAAGCTACATGTATATATTACAGAAAGCTTATATAAAATGTATAAACAGTAACTTATATTAGCTCCATAATATTGTTGTCGATTCTCGAAAAAGTTAAAACTTAGAATGTTTCTGTTAAGTATCACACATATAAATATTGTTATTCTGTTATTATGCCTCCCTGTCTGTCGGTCGGTAGGTTCGTCGGTCCTTAGACAAAAAAATGGTTGCCGGTCAATAACTAAAGAACGTTTAGGCCTAGGAATTTCAAACTTGGTATGTTAATTGTTCTTATCGCATGGTTTGGAACTTTTCCTTTGTTCTTACTAACCCATTATACTCAGTACACTTCAACGAGCATTTCAAAACTGTATTGATATATAACAATACAGTTTTTTCATTGATTCATATAGGAAAAAAACTCGACTGTTATATATCGGTCGAGTTTTTTTCGCACCTGTTATATATCAATGCAGTTTTTTTTTCATAGAGGCTCCAATGGGGCACTGGTAACGACCATTCCCAGTAGCAAAAAAAAAATGGAATCAATAAAATAAAATAAATAAATAAATAAATAAATAAATAAATAAATAAATAAATAAATAAAATAAATAAATAAATAAATAAATAAATAAATAAATAAATAAATAAATAAATAAATAAAATGAATAATAGGTAAACAATGATAATTAATGAAATGAAATTTACTCTCATTTAATCAAAAAGGTACATCCGCTGAATGAATTATTTCCACTGAAAAAAGCCCTTTAATTAATATTGAATCAATATTGGTAACAGTTTACAATTCGCTTCTAACATTTGATGTCTCTTGTATATCTTTTTTTTGCGGCAGCGAAAACAACTGGAAAAACTGCCTTATCATGAATAGCGGTAATGTAGGTAACGATTTATTTATTTATTTCTATTACAAAAAAAAGAAAACATTATGCAATTGCGATAAAACAGTTATAGTATATGAAACTCGTTAGTTACGGGGGTATAACACTGGCTGGGGCGACATCTCGGGATGTTTCTGCAAAAAAAAATTGTCTCGGCCTAACGGCCTCGACATTTTTTTTAGCAGAAACACCCCTTGATGTCGCCCCAGCCAGTGTTATATCCTCGTAACTAACTCGTTTCATGTACTATAACTATTACATAACCAGAAGATGATCCGTGTCTGGGGTCAAGGGTAAAAGGTCAATGTCACATTAACCTTGTAGGTAAAAACGGTTTCCGATCAATAACTTGACAACCCATGGGACATGGGCCTTCAAACTGCATAGGTTCATTGGTCTTGGCCAGTAAATGACCCCTATTGATATTGAGGTTAAGGGGACAAAGGTCAAGGTAACATTGACCTTATAGGTAAAAACAGTATTCGATTAATAACATGACAATTCATCGGCTGTTGGCCCTCAAACTTTCTACTTATATTGTTCTTAGCAAGTAAATGACCACTTTTGATTTTGGTGTCAAAGGTCAAAGTCATATTGACCTTGCTAGTAAAAACGGTTTCCGATCAATAACATGGCAACTCATGTGCCCTTGGCCCTCAAATTGCATTTGTCTTTGCCAGTTGATGATCAGGGAGGGGTCAAAGGTTTAGGTTACATTGACATTGTAGGTCAGAACGATGTCATATCAATAACTGGACAACCAATGGACTCTTGACCTTCAACATTCACAGATGCATTGCTTTTGGTCAGAATAAGACCTTAATGGATTTTTGGAGTCAATGAGTAATAAGAGGTCAAGATCACATTGATGTTATAGGTAAAAACGCTTTCTTATCAATATCTCATTTAACCGGTAGCAATTTATTCAACAATAACAACAATAACAGCTCATGGACCCTCACCCTCAAACTTCACAGGTGCACTGGTCTTGGTCAGTAGATAACCCCTATTGATTTCAGGGTCAAAGTCTCATTGACCTTGTACCCGTCCCGATAACTCAACAACGCGAGTTGCCTTGGTAGATATTTTTATGAAACTAAAAATGATTTTGGCAGATCTACACATATTTCAAGGTCTAATGTAATATAACAAATCTGCTGTCAGTAAGGAGGCCTACACGATTCATAAAATTAATGCCTATATTTGGGAAGATTTGTGATAACTTTGTCATAAAATTGCTGCACGCAACTTTAATGGTCACAATTGCCTAGTGACCAGTCATGACCAGTAGATAAGACCTATTGTTTTTGGTTAATAGGTCAAAATCAGTCTTGATAACTAATAGGCTGTCGACAGGGGTGCATACATGTTTTACAAACATATCTTGTTTTAAGTCTGGTTTTAATTTTTGGTCTTTTTGCTTTTTAGGCAATTAACTACCTAATTTATTCCAAACCATCATTTTGGAATTATTCTTTTTCAAAATTTAAAATGTACGTTTTGCAGCAGATATGTAACTTGATACACTAGATACCGCGCTGTCTATTGGGGGAAAAATGGAAATAAGAACCGATTGAACCGGGTGATGCTCCCCGAGTAGGTTTTGGGCATAGAAATTATTAAAAATTAACAAAGGACAATAACTCAAAAAATAGGCAAGGCAGAGTTATGGCTTTTTGCACTGCCATTTGTATTAAATGAGATCTATCTACCTATAAAGTTTCGTGTTGATATCTCTTACAGTTTCAGAGTTATGTCCCGAATAAAGTTGAAAGTATAAAAATGAACAAAGGGCAATAACTCCAAAATCAGGCAAAGCAGAGTTTAGGTTCTTTAGCACTGCACATTTATCCAATAACATCTATCTACCTTTAAAGTGTATGCCTCTTATAGTTTTAGAGTTATGTCCCAGAAAAAGTGCAAAAATTAACAAAGGGGGATAACTCCAAAATTAGGCAAGACAGAGTTATGGTTCTTTAGCACTTCACATTTACCCAATGAGATCTATCTATCTACAAAGTTTTTGTTGATATCTCTTAGAGCTTTAGAGAAATGTCCCGGACAAAGTTCAAAGTGTAAAAATGAACAAATGACAATAACTCCAAAATTAAGCAAGACAGAGTTATGGTTCTTAAGTACTGCACTTCTACACGATGAGATCTATCTATCTACAAAGTTTATGTTGATATCTCTTATAGCTTTAGAGAAATGTCCCGGACAAAGTTCAAAGTGTAAAAATAACCAATTGACAATAACTCCAAAATTAAGCCAGACAGAGTTATGGTTCTTAAGTACTGCACTTCTACACAATGAAATATATCTACCTACAAAGTTTCATGTTGGTATCTGCTATAATTTTAGAGTTATGTCCCGGAAAAAGTTCAAAGTGTAAAAATAAACTAAGAGCAATACTTGTAAAAAGGCAAGGCAGT